AACAGGAGCAAAGGTGTCGTGAAAATCGACTCCCTCAACTTGAGTAAAACCCTTGGCGACCAGACGCGCCTTGTATCGCTCAATAGAACCATCTGGACGATACTTTATCTTGAACACCCATTTGCAGTCAATTATGCGACGATTTTCGGGAGCAACCACAAGGCTCCAAGTCTTGTTTTGTTCCAGAGTTGCGATCTCTGCGGCCATGGCAGCACGCCAACATGCGTGACGAACGGCTTGATTGAATGTGCTGGGCTCGTCCTCCTTGGAAACAGCTGCAAGGAAAGCCCGATAGTGTGTGGACACATTAGCATAGGAAACGTAATTTTCCAGGGGGTACCTGATAGCAGAGGCCTGGGCGAATTGAGTGTCATAGTCCTCAAAATGTTTGGGACGTGACCTTGCACGGTCGCTGCGCCGGAGAGGGGCGACAACTGGCTCTTTTGCGAAGTGGGCTGGAGACGTCCCATGAAGCCCCGACGTCCCATGAAGCCCCGAGCCAGAAGTGGGCTGCGGTGATGATGGCCCAGGATCCGTGGAGGAAGTGGGCCGCGGTGATGGCGACGCGGGCTCTGGGCCCGTCGCGACCCGGTGCGGAATGGACTTCGGCCCAGGAGTGGAAGGACTGCGGGCCACAACCTCCTGCTGACTGTCTTGCGGCCCAGTGGTGGGAGGAAGCCCAGCCACACTCTCCTGCCGAGTTTCTTCCAACGGAGTGACAGAACCGTGCATTTCTTGGTGAACAGAAGTGCCTTCAAAAACATCCGTAGGTAGCCAATGAAACTCGCCGGGGTCCTGTGCACGATAAGGGAAGTGAGATTCGTGGAAAATAACATCACGGGAGACAATTATCTTCTGGGTATCGAGATCAAACAATCGATAGCCCTTTTGAGTGGAGGCATAACCAAGAAAAACACAAGTACGCCCCCGTGCAGCAAACTTATGGAGGTGGCTGTGTGTATCCTTGGCATAAGCCAGGCAGCCGAAGACCCGGAGATGATCGTAAGAAGCTGGGCGGCCAAAGAGCACCTCAAAAGGGGTCTTTCCTGTGGCCGACGTAGGAAGCCGGTTGAGCAGATAGACAGAGGTGAGAACGCATTCTCCCCAAAACCGAATAGGTAAACCTGCATGAAATCGGAGGGCTCGAGCAGTATCCAAAATATGACGATGCTTTCGCTCCACTACACCGTTTTGCTGTGGTGTATCAGTGCAACTGGTTTGCAAAACAATGCCCGATCGATCATAAAAATCAAGTAATGAGGTAGTTCGGAACTCCAAGCCGTTGTCCGCCTGAATGCGACGCACTTTCCTGTTAAACTGAGTCCAAACCATCTCGCAGAACATCATAACAAAACGAGCAACGTCAGATTTGAATTTGAGTAAGTATACCCACACTCCACGACTAAAATCGTCAACAATAGTGAGAAAACAGTGAGCACCGCTCAGTGAGGCCTGTTTGTAGGGACCCCAAATATCCATATGAATCAAGTCAAAACAACCCGAAGTTTTAATGGAGCTAGAAGAAAATGGCAACCGACTCTGTTTAGCCCTCGAGCAAGGGTGACAAGGAACCAAAGATTTGCTAATGGACAATGAAATATGAGGACTAAGCTGCGACATGAGCTCCAAAGACGGGTGACCGAGGCGCTCATGCCATCGTTCCTGCGGGATCCGACTAGTACCTCCAGCAGCAAACACAAAACATTCTTGACTCTTAAACAGCTTCAGATAGTAAAGGCCATTGCGAAGTTCACCCTTCCCAATCGCTTTCTTGGAGTGTAAGTCCTGAAGTATGCACATGTCACGCATAAAGATTAAAGCCACATCATTATCTTGTGTTAACCGACTCACGGATAATAAATTACACCGAAATTGGGGCACGTGAAGAACGCGCTCAAGACTGAGTCCAGTAGGTAGCTTAACCGTTCCAACCTGCTGAACCGGGACTTGTTCACCATTAGGGAGACGCACTGGTTGACTCCCAAAGTTATGAATAATGTCACAAAACAAAGAGGAATCGGTGGTGATGTGCTCATTGCACCCAGAGTCTATCAACCACTCTGAAGGATCAAGTATTTTACCTGCCATACTTGCAGAAGGGTCCTCGGCAGGCTTTGGTTGATCAAAAAACTTCCGCAATTGCTCCAGTTGGCTAATGGTGAATCCCGGGACGGGGCTTGCTTCTCCCTCAACATGCGCTGCCCGTGGTGGCCTATCCTGTGCGCCACGTCGTGGCCGTCGATCCCCTCGATCAGCCCGCTCTCCACGGTCAGCCGAGCCTTGCCTGCTGCGAGGTGGATAACCAATTAGTTCATAACATGTTTCCTTAACATGACCAAGCTTACCACAGTGCGTGCATCTCGTCCGCGGTCGGGAACCAGAATCCTCGCGCAGGTCATGGGCGGACTGGTCTTGTTGAGGACGCCTAGAATCTGCACGAGAATCCCGCCCATGCTGCTCCTGGTAATTGCGACCAGAATCTACTTGCAAAGCAAATGCGGCTGCCTCCGCTCCGGGACGTCTTCGCTGAGCTATCAACCGCTGCTTTTCATCATTGGATATTATGTTAAAAGCTTCAGCAAGAGACGGGGGAGGCCTCATGGCCAATATTTGGCTTCTAACGGCGCTGAAGCCCTCATCCAATCCCATCAAGAAGTCAAGCAACCTAGTGCAATCCTCGCGATCACGTGTCCGACGTTCTAGGTCGCACTTGCATTGCCCGCACGTGCATCGTTCAGGTGGGTATATGGACTGAGCCTCTTCCCAGTAGTTCTTCAACTGAGTATAAAATGAAGATACAGTGAGCTTCTCCTGTCCCAACCCAGCAATGAGTCGGCGGAGTTCATATCCTCTTGTGAGAGTCCCCTGTCCGAATCTCTCCTTCAAGTCCAGCCAGATCTCTCTTGACGTCTTGGCGTATCGCACGCTGCTGCGAACTTCTTTATTCATGGAAGTGCGTAGCCAGCCCTTCACGACCGCATCACATCGGCTCCAAGGCCCATTCTCAGGTTCATCCTTTGGTTTGGGAATCGATCCATCGACAAACCCGAACTTGTTTTTGACAATGAGAGAATCGGTCATATCGATGACCCATTCTCCATAATTGGTGGGGGTAAGGACTTCCCCAACGTGAAGCTGTCCCGTACTATCCGACGGGTGAAGATAAAGTGCCGAGGAGGGATCCATGGCAGGTGACAACGAACCCGACGATCCGTCGCTGAACTGGACGACTTTCTTGCCGTCGCTGGTGGAGTTCTTCGTCTCTTCCGAATCACTCATGACAATACTTCAAAGACCAAACTCAGAGAAGCCCTCAGAACGGGGGCTCTGATACCATGACAAATAGTGAATACGAGCAACAAGTAATCAAGACGAACACGGTATTTACGTGGTATCCCCGAGTGATCGGGACTAGTCCACGGGAGAGAGAAGTCTCTCCGGCTACTGATCTTATTGATGTATGACTTGATTAGCCGATCGGCTGTACAAGAGTATTTATACAATAATGATTCGTAGCTAGGGTTCCATTACTACTTGAGGCAAAGGTACGTGAAGAAGGAGTCATGCAGGAGGCCGACTGCTGGGCCGACTCTTCCTCGACGTGGGCCGAGCCAGAAGTGGGCTGGAGGCTTGACGACACAGCTCGGCCTAATACGCAAATTCGAATGTTTTAAGTAGTAGCAAAATTGGCCCAACAATTTCAAAAAAGTAGCCGAAGCGGAAGAAGAGATTGGGACGAGCCTCGATCATATGTTCATATTCTCGATGATTGGGACGAGCTAGTTCAAATCCATTGTAATTCATATTTTATTCTTCATAGCTCCTTTAGAATTTTATTTTATTTTATTTTATGGATACCTTTAGAATTTTGGCTCCGCCGCCAGAAAGCGCGTTTAGTAACCGAAGCAAGCAGACTAAAATGGTCATTGATTAACCCTTGTTTATGTGAACTTTTTGATGAGTGCGGCCAAAGAGCACTAAAGAGTGAAGAGGCATAAACTATCTTACTAGAACCCAAAATTCCATGGCCACTCAACTCGATCTTTCCGAATCTCATAATAAAACAATATTTTCTTTTAGGTGTTTTGTAGACGGCTGCAGAAGACTGCAAGAGAATCTAGGTCAATGAAAAGCATTCAAAGTGGAATCTTTCGGATATCCATCCATTGTCAATTCAGCCATTCCAAAGGGGCCATAAATGTGGGAGAACACAAGTAGTCGTTATTTGATTTTCCATAGAAACAAACATAGGTTCTCTTCTCACCTTGAATAATACTTTTGATAAACAATTTTTATGGGTATGATCACCTTATTTTGTTTTAAATATTAAGGATTTTCTTATTTAATCAATCTCATAATAATAAGTTGGTGACAGAATTCCGTGATTGGTCAATTGAATTTATGAATCGTGTTAAAAAATGGAATTAATTGGTAGTACCGAGCAAAAGAAAAAAAATTCGATACATAAATAAAACCTTTCAGGTTAAATCGGACTGGATCAGTGGCGGACTTAGGATTTTGGGATAGGTGTGTAAGCCCATAAAAATAAAAATAATAATTAAATTAATAAAAAATAATTAATTAATTAAAATCAATATAACAGTGGATTTGTCATATTAATTTGTACTGTTGCTTGAAAATAAATTTGTATTGTTGCTTGAACATACAGGTTTTGTAGTTTAGACAGTTTTTTCCACACGCTTTGTTAAGAAAACAATATCCCAACGGTGCCAACAAGAAACCTAATCTCATCAACTCATTATTTTTATGAATATCAAACTAGCTTGTCCAGTCAGCAAACATATGTGGTCGGCCAAAAAAGTCCTTGATTACCTAGTTAATAATAATAATATAATTAAACAACGGCCACAAATGGCGGCCAGTTGTAAACACAGTGTCACATTCATGAACCCCTCGCCGTCATACTTTCTATATATATATACTATACTAGATAATCAATTCTTTCAATACCTCTTGCAAATTAACACAACCATTCACCGATGAAACCACCGGCGGCCAGCTCCCACGATGTCTTCCTGAGCTTTCGCGGCTCCGACGTCCGAAACACATTCGTCGACCATCTATACGCCGCGCTTCGCCGGAGAAGAGTCCGGCCGTTCAAGGACGACGTCGACCTAGGCCGCGGCGAGAGCGTGAGGGAGGGCATTTCGCGGGCCATCGAGGGCTCGAGCTTCTACGTCGTCGTTTTGACGCGCAACTACGCTTCCTCGGCGTGGTGTTTGGATGAGCTTGTGAAAATCATGCGTTGCTCTAGTAGGGACAACCACAACGGTGGCGGCGGCGGTGGGAAGAACACTACTTTCCCGATCTTCTACCATCTGTCGCCGGACGATGTGTCCGACGTCGGCTTCTATTACAAGGATGACTTCGATCGGCACAAGAGGCGGTACACGTACGAGAGAGTGGACGGCTGGATTCAAGCGCTTGCGTGGGTCGTCGGCGTCGCCGGCTGGGTCGTCACTAACCGGCAGTACGTATGTACGTGAAAGCAAGCATGCATGCATGCATGTTTTGTTCTCGTGTTCTATGGATAGTTTGGAAACCTTACGTAAAACCATGCATGCATGTTGTCACGTGACGTCTATTTCTTAATTTATCTACTGTTTACGTTAACCAAGACTTTGTTTTCAGGTAAATTTAGTTATTTGACGTTCGAATGCTGAAATTAAATTTTGTTATAATATTCTTCCAGAAATACTAGTTCTGTAACTTTTTCCTCCGTGCCCAAATTCATCATGATTATTTTAGAAGATACTATGTATTTCTACCCAAAAAAAAAAGAGATGTCGTATATGAAATTCATTTGGGAGATCTATCAAATTTACTTGCGATGTAATATACCCTTCTAATAAATATTTTTATCAACACGTCTACATACTATTTCTTACATCATGTTCCTGCACTTTGAATAATTAGCAAACATAGTACTTCTGCCAAAAATTTGACCCAAAAATCGTTAACCACGATTGAACCGATATTCAAGCGACCTGATATCGGCAAAATGAGAGGGAAATATTGGTTTTTTCCATTCATTTATTTCTCTATGTCTCGACAAAGTGGAAGGTATTGGGCTATACGAAAGAAATATTAAAAGTGAAATTTTTATGAATATATTTTTACATTTGTGTTGCCTCAATCAAATTCGAGTGTGTTGAATGATTTTTATGAAATTTTAACATAATTGCATATTTGATCATCTTTTCAAAGTATATGTTTATGTTTGATGTAAAAAAGTAATAAAGCATGTTTTATAAAACTGTATTGTAGAGAAACATATTATACCTATATCCCATTACTTTACCGTTCCTTATGTGACTTGATTTGCTTTATCGTAGATTGAGGGTTACTCACATCTTTTGTTTTTTTTCGTACGTATAAATTATTAAATTCTAGTGTTAGGGGTTGAAGAAGTATGGTCTGTATATAGTTCACTTATTTTAGTTTAGGGTTTCATCGGTGATCGGTCATTGCAGAATAATATTGAGCATAAAAGTTCCGAATATGTTATAAAATAATCGAATTTTATAATTTCAAGATATATATATAGGTTCCTACTTCGGTACACTCACATTGAATCACCTAACTCTAAAAATGGTCATAATACATCAAATTTTAAAATTTAATGGGTAGTATTGTCTAATATGATGATATAACACAGAAGCGCAACTAATCAATCCATTACCCTAACCCATTAACCTTCAATTTTGAATCTCAACCCAAAATCCCAAATTGTAAACCCTAACCCTAAATTCCTAAACCCTAAATCATTCAAATTAAAGTGAATCTTGAATGATTTTTGTACAAATTCATGTGGTTCTTGTTCATCATACCACAAGTGATGATTGACATCGTTTTCACATGAATCGCCTGCTCAGAATGACGATTATAAGGCGGGTGCATTGAATGTAACAAAAAAAGTGAGTTCACCAAAAACATAACCATATATATATATGTGTGTGTGTGTGGTGACGTTTTCAGTGCACTCACTTTTATGGGTGCATTCAATGCACTCGCTTCATAATCGTCATTCTGAGCATGTGATTCATGTCAAAACGGTATCAATCATCGCTTATGATATTATGAATAAGAAACACATGAATTCGTACGGAAATTATTTAAGATTTATTTTAATTTGAAGGATTTAAGGTTTAGGGATTTAGGGTTAGGGTTTGGTTTTTATTTTGGGGTTTTGGTTTGGAATTCAAAATTGAAGGTTAAGGTGTTAGGGTAATGGACTGATTAGTTGTGATTCTATTTTATATCATCATATTATACTAATGCTGGCAATTAAAATTCAAAATTTGATATATTAAGACCACTTTTGGAGTAATGCACCAAAAAAAGTGAGTGTACCAAAGTAACCACTTATATATAATCCTTCAACGTATGTGTTAAATACACGTTTAATACATACATGGATACTATTTATGGTAAAAATTAACGAGTACTGGTTAGCCGGTTGTTGATGTGAATGTAGAAAGATTGTCAGAATAATACAGTGATATATAAATTAACAAACAAAATCTATTTATTGTCAAAATTAACGAGTCATGAGCCTGTTATTTCTCTCGGTAGAATACAAAATGTGAAACATATATAAAGTACACAAGTTGAGTTTATTAATTTTATAACATATATATTGGCCAAAGTAAGTAGTTTTTAATCCGGTAAATGTTGATTCGAAATCCCCTTTGACAAGGATTAGAAGAAGCACCTCACCGACAGTAATGTAGCGAGGAATTGTAAACTAAGACCCGAGGCGAGGATTGACGGAGAACAACACATGGTAGTGATAACTGACAAATGTATTACTCAGCAAGATTCATTTTGGATGGAATCTTACAACATCCATATACAAGAAATAAAGGACAATAAATTTGTTTTCTGGCATATTGGAGTTTGCAAAAACCACAGAGTATGGAGATCCTAAGACGTAGGAAATCTGAGATTCTAGAATAACTTTAGAAAATATATAGGTGCATCAAAATCAGATTATGACAAACCCATCTTCTTCTTCTTCTTATTTTTTTTTTTTTTTTTTTTTGTGGTGAGAACAAACCCATCTTTAAAGTAGACTTGATATGTAAATGTAGAATTTATTTTCTAACAATTTACTAACACAATTATATATACTAAAATTGCAACTCATTCGTACATGTGAACTAAAAAATTTACTCATGTAGTTGCCACTAGATGAATATTACGATGAATTTCCTGAAGACTTTAGAAACACTTAAAAAATACAAGTATAATGTAAATCGCGTTCCGTAAAAATTTAAACATTTTCTTAATTGTCGTAATAATATTAATAATTGTGATCACTTCAGGAAACATCAGATGATAAAATAGGGAAATCATATTAAAAGTGCATAGAAACTAACCAAAAATGAGTGCACCAAAACAAATCTTATGTAGTCTATGTTGGCCCGGTTTTTAGAAGTGCTTTTCAGCTTCAAAATCTGAAGCAGGGTCAAACACCTCTAAAAGCTCGGCTTTTCAAAAGCCGAAAAGCGCTTTTGTATAACATAAAAGCAGAAGCTCCGATTTGGAGCTTCTGCGAAAAGTTGTTTTGAAATACAAGACTATCCTTCCATATTTTAATTTTATTTCAGAAAATATAAATTTTCTTCATTTATATCATTTTAAAAATAAAATAAATTATAAAATTATATTATTTAATATAAAAGAAATCTAACAAGATCCATTTTTACTACTTTTTATTGTTTAAAATATTTATTCATATTTTATATTATAAATCTTTTATAGTCATTTTACACAACCGCTCATATTAAAAGCACTTCTAATAGTTTTACACCCAAACACTAAACTGCCTTTTTTGAAAAGTATTTATCTAAAAGCTTCAGCCAGAAGCTACCACAGGGACAAACTAAACTATAATACTACCATTTACCTAATTTAACTTGACTAAAATGTCAATTTATTGTTTCCACTTCAATATTTTGATCTTTTCGAATTTCAAGTGTTTCTGACATCACTTTTTGATTGGATAATTTTAAATTTAGTTTTTAAATATCCAACGAGTCAATTTAACTCTTAAAACACATGAATTTAAATTTTATAAGACAATCTTAAAGAAAATGAGCACATCGTATATAACAATAGGCCCTTCAGAATCGAATGGATCATCCTAGGGAAATTAAAAACAAAAAAATGAGCACGTTCAAACATATACCTGGATTTCAGTTTTAGAGTGTTCAAAAAATTCGTACTTACTCTTGATTCAACATATATATATATATTTATATTTATTTTAGTTACATGTACACGCACCTCTAAAATTAGGATCTGCATCACATAATTTTACAATTTATTTTAACATTTGACTAATACAATTACATAAATCATAATTACATGCATTTTTACTCAAAAGTTACTCGTACAATGGCATTATATTAGAGTTAATGGGGTATACCTAAAATGTCTTAGATGTTAGAAGGCTTAAAATATCAGTAAATCGTGTCTTTTGCAACGATTTATGCATTTTCTTTGTTAGTATTAATTGATTATCATATGGATTACGTTGAGGAACAAATTCATGCAAACGAAGTCTTGTTAACACCACCAATAATTAGCTAGGGGCATTATCTGAGATGTAATCATTTTCACTTCTGCCAAACGCAGGTCGGAAGCGGCGTTGTTGGAGAGCATTGCCAGAACTATCCATCGGAACGTTGGCCGGCAGAGAGATCGGCCGGCGATGAATGCAAGAAGGAAAAGGATGACTTATGGAAGGAGAAAAACACCAATGGCAGAGAGATAGTTCAACGAATAATTTATCTATGAATTTATTAATATATCCAATTATCCATCAATTTAAAGGAAAAGTCAAGCGGGCATGGTCTGTGTGCAACTTGTAAAGATTTTGTATTAACAACAAATTATGTATTTATAAATTTGCAAATAATTGTAAATTTCATTATAGTTTAGTTGACATTCAAAAGCCAACCATCTCATTTGGCTAGATAGTAGATTGAGGCCAAGAGTAGTAGTAGACGACTTGGATTTCTTTAGGAATACGATATCGGTCACCATTATATTAATTTGCCAATCTAAAATGTACTTTTCTTATATTTGAGTAGTTAGTATTATTTTTTTTTTTTTTTGATGAATGGGTGGGATTTTATTCATCTATTTGATCTGTACAACCTTGTACATTTACAAATCCTGCAACAATCGAGCTAGTTCTTCCTGCCTACTACAACAATACAGTGAACTTTTAGGGATGCTTATACCAAAGGATTTGAGCAGTTGGTGATGCTGCAAATCCATGGTCACCTAGTTATTTCGCTTCCATAACAGCCTGCATTCTTTTAACTAAATCCCCTACTGAGAGCTGCTTCCCACCATAGAGCCTGCGACATCGCTCCCTCCAAACTTCACTGAGCACCAAACACCAAAGTATCATGGCCACTTGACACTTGCTCAACTTATGGTTTGCTATCCCCACTGCGTGCTCCAAACTAGC